TTTCCTCCTCTCTGAAAAGAGTATCTCGTGCAACCGTGGAGAGGTTTATTCTGAAGACTTGCTTATTTTCTATCAGTGAATGATTTTACAGAGTGAAATATCAAGAAACGTTTTAAGATTGCATTCACTGTGTATGTTGCTCCCGATATACAAAATATATCGTTTCTCAAAGTCAAGGTTTTTTATGTAGTAGACTTGGTTCCCCAGTAGAGTGAACTTTTCATGAAAGCCCTAGATATAACTGAGTTTTCTTTCATGTCTTTAAAGCTTTTTAAACTTCATGAATTTTCTTATCATTTCCGCAGCAAAGCAAAAGTACTCCCAAATCCTTTTTGAATTTTGTGTTTATATTAACATATTAAAAAATGTTACAGAAATAGATGGAGTGGGCTAAATCTTACTTAAGAAAGTATTTGATTTTCGATGCATTTGAATGCTACAAATGGGTCAGTTACTCCTATAGAATCAGTTCCGTTACCTGTCACAGAGCTGTCTAGATTGTCCATGCTGGACCCGGGCGTCTGCTCCAGGGCTCTCAGGGGCCTGGGGAGTTCTAACACTTCTTCTTCGTCATCAGCATCATCATCTGGAACATCTGTTTCCAAATCGGAAATCAAGGCTCCGGACATGTAACCTAGTGGTGGAACTGGGGGCTGTGGAGGCTGATTATTGCTTTGGACGTGCCTAGAATTCAAATGGGAAGGAAAGAAAAATAATTGGTTAGCATGCCACCAAATTATAGTTAGAATTAAACAGCATGCCAGCGTGCTGTGGTAACTCATTTTGTCTTCTTGCTCTCCATTAACTAATTTTGGAGCTTATCATGCTTTCTTCTATTTCTGCAGAGCCAGCGGGCTGTGTATTCAAAACAGCCATGACAATATAGACTATTCCATCTTTTATGGGCACTTGTGGGATGATGCACAGAGGGGAAAATTCAGACCCAGCATTTTTGTACAAATAAATCACCCAAAGGAGATTAGAAATATTCATCACAAATACCTATTTAAAGATGATTTTTTTTTGTCCAAAAAGAATATAATTCTGGTCCCAGCTTTTTGTCAAAGTTCAGCTTAGCTGTGTAACCCCTGTGACCTGCTGGCCTTTATGAAGCAAAGATGTCCCATGAAAACCTAATACCAATATCCTCTCCCTCCAATCAGGAGCGTGTTCTCTGCCCTACGAGGCTTTCTACCTGCATGATCCCCCAGGAATCAGGCCAGGTGTTTGGAAATTTTAGCCCTGTTTGGGGTAGACATGACTACTTTGTGTTCTAGCTACTTATTTTTGCATCACTGACCCAGCAAAGACTCAAACGCCTCAAAGGCAGAAAAGATTCATCTCAGCACTCTGTGTTGTGAACATTAGATGGGCCAAATCAATCAGCTGCAATGAATGGATAATCCCAACCTTGTGAAGTACATAGAACTTGCATAATCATCTTTCTTTTAGAACTTATTATAGTGAAGATCAAATATAAGAGACTTGTTTCAAATCACGGGGCTAGCAAAATGTGGAGCTGGACACTGGATTCCAGTGGGCTCATTCTGTGACTACTTAGAAGTTTTCTCTAAACCATCAAATGCTGAAGGAAAGCAAGTCTGCTATTTGTTATTGTCATTAAAGAGTGAATATAGCACATATTTTGACACATTGTCTTTTTTTTTCCACCTTGATGAAAAGTGCTTAAAAGACCTCTGCTAAGGGAGATTTAAACAAGTACTACATAATTTTATGATTCGTTTTTGAATAAAGATACAAGATTTATTTTTCTTTAATATTTGCATTTTGGGGAAAATATTTCCTCTTTCAGAATGTGTTTAATATTCTTCTCCCAACTGTATTCTTGAACTTGTGACCAACTCCAATGTTAACAAGATTCTAGATCTTTCAGTGTTCAGAGCCTAACATATTAGTTCTGGAAGCTACCATCAGGCCCACATCTTTAAATTAACAGATTAGGAATTTGAGGTTCTAAGTTATTATCTGGCATTCATCACAGCTCATTCATTGAAAAGTCAGGAAGTTTCCTAACTACCATTATAGAAAATCTCGAGTGTTGATGGCAACATCTTGTATAACATGTAACCTCAAATTCTGTTTGTGAATCAGGGATGGAGTAGGCCAAGTCATGAGCAAGAGAATACAAAGTAATATTTATATACATGATTCATTTTACTCTAATAATTTGCACTTTGGTCCCAGGAAGGACTGAAGAGACCAACACTGTAGTCCTGCATCATTGCTGACACCCCTTGATGGAACAAAAACACATTAAGGGGTGAAAATGTATTCCTTGAGTTCAGCAGAAGTAGATGAACAAGAAAAGGGTCCATAATGTTTATAAATATCTTCTAGTGACAGGGACTGTGTTGCTGTACTTCATGGGTCAATATGAACAGAATCCCTAGAGGTGAAGCCTGCAATTATTCTTTTTAAACACTTCTTTGATGCAGATGTGAGCCCAGATGGAGAGGCACCTCCATTCCAGTAGGGCAAGGTTCTGTGCGAGCATTTGAAACTCGGAACTCCTACACGGGGAATCAGTGTGACATCCTGGAGGACTGTTGGACTGAATGGAAGCATGCTCAGAGGAAGAGGCAGGGTCTGCTCTGTGTGGGGACATGGAGCAAGTGTAGATGAACTAGTCTGTTCACTCATTTAGCAAGTGTCTGTGGACCACTCACTACGTGGGGCACCCTCCTAAGAGCAGAAAGACAGCAGTGAAGAATTCAGGTGAAACCCAAGCCCTCTGAAAAACAACAGCTAGAATACAGCTAGGTACTTTACTAAGCACTGCATGAGTACAGACTCATTCAATTCTTTCAGAAACAATGATGAGAAATAAAGAGAACAAAGAGAAGTTAGGTCTTTTCCCTGTACTCCTGAGAGGTAATATCTAAGCACTAGCACATCCTGTTTGATAAAATCTTTGTTTACCTCGAGGCCAGAGGCTCCCCCAAAAGGTCTAACGATATGATTTATGGCGGGGGCTTGGAGTCATACGCCACCAGCTCCCCTTCTGGAGGGGCCAGAGACCCCGGTCAGCCATGCAGATAGTTACCTATGTCTCTGTGATGGAGCTCCAATAAAGACGCTGAAACTCAAGGCTCATGTGAGCTTCCCTGGTTGGTGATACTCCATGCATACTGTCACGCATCTTTGATGGGACATTATTCTTTCCATGACTCCACTGGGAGAGGACAACTGGAATTGTCCAGTTGGAATTTCCTAGCCTTTATCTCCCATGCATTTCTTCTTTTGGTAGATTTTAACCTTTACCATTTCATTATGATAAACCATAACTTTGAGTATAATAGCTTTCAGTGAGTTTTGTGGCTCCTTCTAGCAAATTCTTGAACATAACGGTGATGTTGGGGACTTAACAACTTGTACAATAGTGTCAGAAGTGAGCCTGGTCTTGGAGGAACTGCCCTCTCACTTTGTATTATGAGCCAATGACTATTATCATCATCATTTTATGAATGGGGGACTGAAGCGCAGAAGGATTAAACAAGTTGCCCACTGTCACACAGCTCGTAAAAAGTGGCAGAGGCAGTGGTCCAACTTTGGCTGCCCCCAATCCAATGCCAGTCCAAACAATCAGAATATCGGGGGTGGGGCCTGTGTAACCAGGTTATCCAGATGATTCCAACATGCAGGCAGAGCTGAGAACCCCTGAGCAGGAACCTGTGCTTTAAATGACTAAACTGCAGGGCTTTTGCTTAATTAACTTGAAGGAAATCCTCTGGTTTTAAAGGTAGCTGGCTTCAGCTTCAACAGTGGTGTTCTATAGAACAGACTGATATAAAATAAAACTGTTTAACAGTAAATTGTCTTCGACCTTTGAAAAAACATCTGATGATCAAGGAAAATATTCAAGAACCTCTGGTTCTAAGAAATGAATCTCTGAAGTAAGCTGATATTTCTGGTTTTAGAATCTCTTGGTGTATTTAGCTAAAATAAATAGTTCACTAACACTGAGAATAAGACTTATCAGCTTACTTCAGCAGCTAAAACCATCAAAAAAGAAGCTAATGCTATTTCATAGAAACTTACTCTAACTTCAAGCACAGGATGTAAATCAACAGAAGATAATCAGAGGTATGTCACTGAGATTTCATTTTCAAGAGTCAAATGTATATGTCACTGGGAGAAGGGAGAGCAAATAAGAAAAAAATAACTGTACAAAATTGTGAGAGTTGGTCCCACTTGTATTCCTGCCACGTTTTCACAGGATACATAAGGAGGCTGCTATCTATACCGTATGAAAGTTCATGGATTGATTAGAAAAAAAGGAATTTGGGATTTGTACTTTATTGTACACTTTTTTTGGTGGAAGGATGCATTTACTGTTACTAATATTGTTTTTTTCTGTCTCTTTTAATTCAGCCCAAAGAAGGTCTTTTAATAACTGACACTGACCATATGTGACTTGCAGAAGCTTACATTCACATATTCACAACTACATACAGAATTAATCCCAGGCACTTTGAAGAATCTAAAAAGAGTCTTTCATTATGGTGTTGGGCATGAGTTCAAGGATAAGCTAATTGAAGCTAAACTGTAAATTAGAAAAGATTCTGGTGTAGCTAAAAGCACTTGAGCCTGAAATTCAGCAGATCTGAATTCTTGCTTCAGTTCACTTTAATTAGTTGTGTGACTTTGGTCATATTATATAACATTTCTTCAGTTTATTTCTTTATCTAGATGATTAAGGAGTTGAACAAAAGCACTTGTAACCTCAGCTGTAGGATTTAGCGAGACTCTCTTGAGAATTTACTGTGAAAGAACATTTCCTCCATCCATGTGTTGAAAGCATGGTTCCCCTGATCTAGTGAGAATATTTACCATGTTTGCTTTGCTATATCGAACTGATAGGCCCTTGTCAACTCATCCAGGTGAGCTTGCAGCATGGGCTGCATCTCCTCCCGTGGGGATGGTGTCAGAGTTGCGGTGGACTGCTGCCCGAAGGAGACGGCGGGGGAAGAAGCCACGCCTCGGACAGGGGGTGTCGGGACGCGATCATCATCTTCTTCCAGTTCATCTTCCATACCCTGGTGTAAGTAAGTTTGTACGGGTAACGGCGGGCACCAGCTGTCACTGTCATAGCTGAAATTAAATGAGAAGAGAAAAACACATGAACCCTTACACACACACACACACACACACATACACGATTACACTGGCAATGAATGGCAACCTTGATAGTATCAAAATGTTCCCCCAGTTCATTTCCTCCTGATTTCTAGTTGTTGGTGCTATCAGAGTAAATCCTCTGGCTGTTATCCTAATTTCTAATCATAAGCACATCTGTTATCTCAATATCTCAATTTATTCTTAAAAGATCTTACTGGCTAATTGTTACCCCATGGTTACAAAAGGCAATAACTTCCCAACAAAGCTACCCACGTGGAAAAACCAAATTGCTAATTAAAGGCAATTAATGAATTT